TTGGAATAACTTGACTTGTATTACTGATACCTGAGAGTAATTCCTGATGCGTTGAAGGGGTGAAGATAGCAGATTATGTGACTTATTCCATTATGCAAAGAGAGGAGAGAAACAAATAATATATATATATATATTATCAGAGGTACATTACTTGGGGTTTGCAACTCGCATAGTACTGTATGGTGACATCATGTCAAGATCCCATTCAAGTCTCTTCTCGTAGATAGCGAGACTGAGGCTACGACCTTCTGACATGACGCATATCAATGTTCAAAGTTTGTAATGAAAAAAATAAACTTTTCTTGTCACTATCATAGTGAAAAATGTAATACATCGAAAATGTACAGAAAATATAGTTCTCGTAATCCGTCATATCGTGGGCAGCTATTTTGATCCACCTGGACATCCCAGTATCCTAGTTACCTCGGGCATGCGCATTCGCATTTTTTCTGAGTTGGAACGCTTATGCGAGAGCGAGATTGTGACGGGATCTTGGTATCATGTCACCGTAGTTACAAACCCCAAGTAATGTACCTCTGATATTATATATATATACTGAGGAAGTCACCGTTGGGTTGTTTAAACTTTGGTATATTAAAAGGTTATCTACAACCAGGAACAGATGATTTAGTTGACAGATCGTACAACGTTCTGGTCTTCTGAAAACATGATCATGAACCTGTAAGTGTAAGTCATCAGATAAATTAAAGTTATCGCCAATAGGTGATTTTCCGTACAATTGCGAGATCTCGCGAGATGCATGAAAGACGCGCGTCGAACGTCTGCCGCAAAAATCGAACGATTTGATTTTGAACTAGAATTTCTTTATTTCGTAGCTTACATTGACCGGCCGATCTTCGACAGAGGAATATTGCTTCCGAATACCCTTACTTAATCGAAATTGCCTATCATCAAATGTGAACAGCACATTATTAAGCATGGAAAAGTCCCCGAAATACTTTCGCGTTTGTCGAATCCCACGCGATGTTTGACGCGACTACGACGCGACGCTATGACCTTTGTTTGTCCTGTTTTTACGTTCGATTTCACGCATAACGCGTGATTCTCGCAGTGAACGGAAAATGGTCTATTGAAAGACAGTATAATGAGATGTAGCAGTCATGTGAAAAACTATAAGGAAAATAAATGGTTCCTTATTCTTGAAGAAAAAATAACCATGGCAATAAGAAACAGTGATGGCAAGGATGATGCCCATTGAACAGAAACTAATAAAGAAAAACAAATTGAGTGACCATTAATTGAAATAAATTGAAGTAAAAGGTTTTTCCAGAAAATCATGCAAAAAAATAAATGAAGAAACTACCTCCAATGGTCATCGCCTGAATGATTATTCAGATTTTCCTGGAAAAATTATAATGTCACCAAGCAACCTGACGTTTATCTTAAGGAGGTTATGACATTTAGGGATAAACCGGCGCAAACCATGGCACTGACTGTCTCAAAGAAAACTACACAAGAAGGCGCGAAATGACATACGTATACGCACATCTCAGTCTATATAGCAGAACAAGCAAGAAAAGTTATGAAATATAGTGATACTGTTTTAAAAACAAGAAGTTTTGAAGTTAAGGAGTGGTGATTAATGTTTAACTGGAAAGAGATGACCAATAGCAAAGTGACAGACCCGTCTTAGTAGATCCAACAGAACAAACAATTTTAGGTATGGCCTAGGATCCAGAATCGGATCTGGATCCTTCTTACTGTTGTCAGAAGCAGAGTGGCCAAATTCAGTTTCTAAAGCAAATGTCAGTAAAATTGACAGAGAATTAAAACGTGTGAAAATTGATAATGTTTGAAGTATTAGAAAAGGCGCTGATTAAAAGCAATTCTTTAAATGGAGAAAGTTCATCTGAATGACAGCATATATATTAAGATTCACTACGAATTTGAAAACCAAATGTGCAATCGAAGATAAACAATTAGCATTGGTAGACATCTATTGGATGACAAAAACCACTTTATGAGAGAATAATAGATGGAGAATTCAATTGAGTTCCTAAGCTCCTTTGAGAAGAATAAAACTATTCATGTTGGAAGAATATTAAACTTGTAATGAAATATAAAAGAGGACATCTGGTCTTATTTCCCATCGATCACCACATATCCTGTTTGATAGCACAACATGTACATAAGCATAAGCATTCCGTTGCAGTAAAGACTGTTGCCAAAGTGAAATGTGAATATTGGGTTGTAGGCGTGACAAGTTTGGCAAAGTCTATCAAATTCAAATGACACGCAGAATCAAGCCGAGGCCCTGCTCATGGCTGATTATTCAGTAAAGAGAATGGCTTTATTAATGGCCACCTTTCTATTTCACTGCCGCCAATATATTGAAGGAACAAAATGACAAAACTCTATGGCGTTATCTTTACGTATGAACACTAGAGAAGTTTGGGGACAGAAGTGGAATGTAGACAAAAGGAATGTGTAAGTGAGCGGAGTTGTTGGAATAGCCAATAGAAACGAGGTTACGTGGAAAATCCTGGAAGAACTACAGAATATTACCTTCGACAAAACACGCGAGTGCGGAATGTTAAAGTCAGCAATCAGACAGTATAGTCGGCCAGTAAGAACAATTGTTGTCATTTGTTCTGTTGTGTTGAGAGATATGAGTATAGTCATATATTTAGCTTGATATGCGATTGTATTGCATCATGACATGGAGTGCTTCAAGTGAAATGTTTGAACATTCAGGGCGCCATTTAGCGTTGAAAACGACAACAAAATATATTCAAGATGGCAGCTCACAATGAAGTAACAGTGTTGCTTGGAAAGTCGTAGAATATACCAGATTATAGAACCGATCGCCGTCTATGTAATACAATTTAGAAATTCATTAATCAGTAATGACAGTCAAATGCTGCTAACCTGTGGTATTACTCCGTAGCTACCCAGAAACGTCTAATCTGGCAATATATCCAGTTACAGTTGTAGTGAGTTTATATTCATTGTAACATTTTGTTAATGTGATAATTAATGTTACATGTGAAATGAGTTGGTCGTATGTGCACTGTATACTGAAATGAAGTTTTATTCATTACTATTTCAGAAATATAATAAACGGTCTTCCATACAATAAGACATTTTGTCTTTACATCGATCTCGTCAACCACTGCGTATCGTTAACTTATTGCAATTGCAGGCAAACGAAGAAACGTACATACAAACATACGGGATTCGATCTCGTGATCATAGCAACTTGAAAGCACCTCGCCACAAATTACAATATCAAGTAATCTACGCATGATTTCTATGCTTCTGACATTTGAATATTAGAAATGTATAACTGTAATTATAGTTTGGTGATTTATAGATTACATTTTTAAAACATAATTGGATGATTATAAAAATCTAAGCCACTGTTTTTGCTTTCATTGCGTATTAGCATAAGTCTGATATGAATAAATGGTAGTTACCTAGGTTACTTATTAAATTTATATATTTTAGATATATTGAGGCAATATCCGTATATTTCGTAAATATATATGGGCTTGGAGAAAATGCATACTAATACATTGTAAAGATTTTGCTATTAACAGAGCATTAAAATATGACATTCGTGAAGAAAAAAATTAACGCAGGTTTTCCATAAAACGTTCATATAGGATATTGAGCCGTTATTTTGTGTTATACTCGAGTACGTTAAAGCGCGGCAGTCGTCGCTCTGCGCATGTTCGACATTTGTGTTGATAAACATTGATTTTCCCACAATCCAATGCGCTCTTCAAATGGAAATCACAAGTATGAGGTTTGACCTGGTCGCGACTTGCACTGATTACCGCCGGTGACTCCTTCGATACCTTCCAATCACATGAAAATTACCTAAATAAAGCATGGAAACGTGTCAGTTCGTAATTAATTTCACTTTGATCTGTGCAACAGTCAAAGTCGCTATGATCTTTGTTTACATGAGACCCATATATCTCGCACATGCGCAGCGCGACGACTACCGCTCTTTAATGTTACTGCGGTATGGGTATAACAAATGATTTGTTAGTATGCCTATAGCGGCGAGGAAATGCAGACGTGTGGTCACGTAAATTGGGATGTGTCCTGGCAAGTTTCGGCAGCGGAGTCAACAATATTATAATAAATGGGATACAACGCGAAACTGGATACGGGCTAAAAATCGAGTAGTTCTGGTACAAGGCCGTGAATATCAATCAAAATGTGTTTATTCTCACACTATTCCATACTCGGCCGTGGAAATCTATCAGGCTTTCCCACGATAACTGGAAGGCGTCATAATAAAACCTGTATAAAAACATTGAAGCACGATGATTGGCTAATATATTTTAGTCTTCGCTAATACTCGATTTGTATGTTTAAAGGGTGGCAGTCGTTGTGCCGCGTCCTGTTCGATTTGGGACTCATAGCGACGTATACAACGCGTGTAAAATACATTGTTTATTTACATGAAATTCGAACACGCGCTGCGCGACGACCACCGCGCTTTAACATACCGGTATCGGTATATGAACAGGGACATTGGGAATGAAGAAATAGTTTTGGCCGAGTATATCACCACTAACATTTCGTTGTTAAGTTATACGTTCCCAGGTGACCCACGATGACGAATCACACGTGCATACATGTATGTTGTATATGCTTAAACCAGTCACGAAAAACTGTTATGTGATGTGCATCACGATGGCAATTCTCGAATAGCATGGAAGGGAAAGCATTCAAACGCTTCCAGAACGTTAATTGGCTCCATATCAAGGTTGCCATGGTGATAATAAATTGACCAATAAGAAATGGCTTCTAATGTGTTGTATAATGCCTATCATGAACTAGGTTACTACCAATCAATAATGACGGTATTTATATGTTGACATACGCTTTAAATAACAGCATTATATGCAGTCCGCCTTTAAGTTGGTCTTTTCACCGAGCAGTGTACAGACAGTGTGAACGTTTTCACGTCGACTTTACAACACTATAGGTGAACGGTAAGCTGTTCCGCTCTCGGCAGCAACATGGCACAAGTAGGCTCCAGATACTCTGCATCAACGCAACGAAGCCACCCTGTCGTCAGAATACCGGTGAAACTCGACAATACATATAAAATGGACCCTGATAATCAATTCCCCGTGACAAAGGTGAAGAGGATCATCACAGATGTATTGCAATCTATGCTGTGTGACGAGTCATACGATGCCAGCAAGTGCCTCCACCTTACGAAACAGATAGCTGATATAATCAAAGACCGGGTAAAGGCACTAAAGACTCCTCGTTACAAGATTGTGTGTTATGTGTACATGGGATCTTTGCTCCACGGATCTGTACATCTCGCAAGTCAATGTGTGTGGAATGAGAAATACGACTCGTATGCCGAAGGAAAATACACAAATAAGTCGTTGTATAGCACGGCTATAGTGTACGGACTTTACTGTGAATAGAGTATTACGTGTGTGGAGTGATATACAATGTGTTGCTTGATGAACGGTGTATACTGCTTCACCTGATAAGCGGGAGTGCCTTTATTGTTTATCGTGCACGATGTCCGTCGTCGGCTTTCCCACGACAAACGTAACTACAAGTACGCGGTGTCTGCCGTTGGCTTCCTGAACACATATTGAGCTCCCGGTGTTACGGCGAGTACAAAATATGTATTAAGAATAACACCTAATACACGGTTGAATAAATACTACGGGAATCATGTATGGTTCATGTATGAATGCGTGTATTCGGTGTTATCAACGCCACAGCTTCTATGCGCGCAGCGACTCTACTTGCACGCAAAATTTGAATCATAGTATGTTTAGAGCAGCAGAACTAAGTATCTAGACATGAGAAGAATTATACTGCATAAATCGTTTTTCGATCGCTGAATACGAGAAAAAGACTTTGAAAATACACCTTCCTGAATTTTCGAGGTATATCTTTGTCTGGGAAAGGGATGAACAAATACAAAACCGTGCGAGCAGACGATGGAACAGACAGTTCTGTGCATTGCATTGCAGCACTCAATGCGCCATGCCTTACTTACCGGACTTCAGCTGCCATTTTGAAAATGCATGATTACATCTTTGGCTAAAATGACTTTTAATTCAAATCAAGTCTTACTATTTCTACATCATGTCTTAGTATTACCATGGCAACCATGTTATGCATGTTCACGCTTTTCTCGACAGATAGGCATCAGCGAACCGTGTAAATTACGTCATCGACATGTTCATTATTAGTGGAGTGAACACTAATTTAGTACAAATATATAAGAAGGAAGGCCTATCGAATGTCTACTTCACGTCAATGTGATTTATTCCTCTCTCTGCCATGCAGGTGGCTTGGTTATGCCGGGTCACCTGCCTTCTAACCCCATACCTGCCAACACGACCCAGCAACAACAAAACAAACTTAATGTATTATATGGACTGATTATAAAGCTCAGACATAACCTTTGTAAGTGTGTCTCCGATGATTATCATGTTTTCTCGATGTACATTATTGTTTTGCGCGACTATATAATTATCCCGGCTATCGGGGCTTGTGATCTCTATATGGCTAAACTTCAGTCAATAACTTTAATTGTTGTCATTAAATAAAACAAACTTAATGTATTTTATCGACTTTTCATACAGCTCAGACGTAACCTTTGTAAGTGTTCCCTCTCTATCATGTTTATTCTCGATGTACAATTGCACGACTCCACAGTTCTATCAGGTATTATTCAAGTTAAAAGGCGGTGGTAGTCGTGCCGCGTCTTGTTCGATATGGGACTCATAGCGACGTACACAACGCGTGTAAAATACATTGTTTGTTTACATGAACTGTTAACACGCGCTGTGCGACGACCACCACCCTTTAATCTTATATTCAGATCTCCCAGAAATAAACATTTACTTATTGGCATGGAAACCAATCTGTATACGGACGTGACTCGTCTTTCACAACTATATATATTGTAAAACTCCTTCAATGCGATTCCAATGTATAACATAATTTACATGTTATTTTCATCGTATTAGTGTATATAAGTACAAACGATTGCCTCACACGTCGAGAGAATTCTCGTACGCGTAGATTTTAACTATTTATAAAGGAAGTAATTCGTGAAATAAACCCTTAATGTACTTTGTATGGGTGCACTGTGTCGTTACTAACACGCATTGCCGTCACCATAGTTACTATACACATGTGATTAGCCAGTAGACACTGTAGCAAATCAATGGGGACTTGACTTACTGTTAAACCTTTTTTTTTTGACAGGCAATTAATTTCACTTTTTGATCTTTTGGTCATATTTGCTGGGTTTTCAGTTAACAAATTTGCCAGTCAAACAATACTGCTGTTTTACATGTTCGCGTGGATATAACTTGAATTTTTAAATTAAAAAATTAAAACCCAAGTGAATAAAATAATGCATGTACAGTATATAGAATCATTTTGAATATAGAATAAGTCAAATCATTATTGTATTTGCTACAACCCCCCCCCCCTCATCACTGGATGCCAAGACTCACATATCTGATGCACACACTGACATGTATGTGTGCATATCTATATTTGAAGCATACGATCAATAACATTGTCTGTCAGAAAATTTTGAGATCACACTGTAAACAGGTTCATCTCGTTTTCCTAATTTAATGGCATTTCGAAGCTTACCTGTAAGTCATCTACTAACAATGTGTTAACAATGTGGGTGTTATCTGAATACTACAAGTACGCACCATGGGAAATATACGAATTCTGCAAAGTACATCGTATTCATGCATGGATTTACACTCGGTCCCAATTGTCTCATTCATGCATTCTTTTTTAATTTCGTCAGATCAGTGCGTGTTTGTCTGTTAGAACAAAAAGCAAGGTTTGTTCTTCCGTCTTGCATCGACACTGCCAGGTCAAATGTCAGTGTTCCCTTATATCAGTCATCTATTGTGACGCCATATCATCAGGTGAGGGGCGGTGTTCTGCTTTCATCGAAACAAGACAATTCATGTACAGTACACGTAATCATATCATTTCACCTCATGTGGTTTATTCTATCAGAAATTGTTTAGTTGTTAGCACAAATGAATTGCGAAAAAAAATTATAGATGTTGAATGATTTTGTCCAAGTATTTTTTCAGTTTCTTTGTTATAATAGCTGATTATTTAGTATTATAAGGTTTCATTAGTAGTACTTTATGACTTGTTTGTCAGACTTACAGTGGCTGTCCCCAGAATGTGATATAGAATATTAAAAGAAGACGGTTGTCGTCGAGCGCGTTCGAATTTCTTGTAAGCAGACAATGTACATTGTATGCACTGTGTACGTTGCTATGGAATCCATAACACGACGCGATGGCACGACCACGGCTATGTTTAATACTCGTATGCTTTTCAATCGGGGTGACTTAATTATGTAAATTATCGTGATGTTTTGTTTACATACGAAGATAAAACGTTCACATTTCATGTACAAGACTGGAAATATAGAAATATGTTTGGCTGTAAGTCTTATTTTTTATTTTCTTATTTTCAATGATAGAACTCAGGCTAAATTTTAACAATCAGAATACTCGAGCCAGATAGTAACTCGTGATGCTGGTCGTTTAATAGTCACACTAGAAAATGCAGTGCGCTCTTCATGGTCTGTAAACAACTTTTATTAATCGTTCAATTTTCCATTCACAAATATTTCAATAAACTTTACAAGGTAAAAATAGTTTTACTAACAATCTTCTGACATATATTTGTTTTAAGAAACTATAATAACGCGTTCAACCGAAGGGGCGAGAGGGAAGAATACATTTATTTTACAATGATTGATGAAGACGTCAAAAAATTGAATAAACGATTCGCTAAAAACAGCGACAATTCCATGTGATGAAGATTGGCAAAATGAAACGTCAAACGATTTATATGTCTGTAAATAAGATAATTTGCATAGACGATAGATGCATTAAACATGTGTAAATAACGCCGGTTCCCGCAGAATGAGGGTTGATATTTCTGTGCTGAATTACCGGGGAACGTCTGCCAACGACAATTGTACGCAAAGGCTCATGGGACAAGCATGGAGCTAAAAATGGACGAGGTACACGTCTAGGGAATTCTCTCACTTTAACACAGTTTGATTATAAAGTTGACGTATTAATGGGATAAGTACAGAGAGAATCTTTACTTATGTCGTGTCGGTACACTAGTACTGATTGTCTAAATAGGTGCAAAAGTAGTTCGCTGAAATGGAAATCATTTTCAAAAATTATATTGGAAGAAGTGATAGTTGTTTTGGACGACAGAGTGTTTCCACCATGATAAGTTTGAAAATTGCTCCAGAAGTCGCGAATGGTTTATTTGGAGTGAGAAGGGGTTACTTAAACGTTGAAAAAGTTGTCTAAAATTCCGAGAGATAGTAGAAAGTTTTATTGGTAGTGCGACGAGTTATATTCAGCGTCAAAAAATCGTGTCTGTTAAGTCCGAACACCGCTGTTCCAAAACCAAGTAGTCTGAACTGGAGTTTAAAAGACAGGAACATTTCAATGGTTGCCCTCAAAATCAACATCATAGCTTGCAACAGTTCTGTTGAAAAAACATCGAAACAGTTTTAAATTAGTTTACGAAGCCTGGAAGGCCGGGTGAAAAGGTGAAAAAGCCTGAAGTTTGATTGGAGGACAGAAAAGACTTTCGTAAAGTAGCTTGTGTAGGCTGGAACATGGAACTATAAACCCCATGGCTGGAACATTGTTTCGGAGGCGGAAAAGTTGTTTTGAAAGTCACGGAACCTTGTAAAGTTGTATAGCAAGTCCAAAATGTTATTCAAAACGACCAGAATGCTGTATGAAAAGACCAAGGCGTTGTATGGACGGGAAATTGGTATTGGGAGAAAAACAAGTTGATCGAAATTTGTGGGGAGGTTACTTTTGAAAACAAGAAATATGCATACAATTTCAGTCAAATTGCCTCGATTGTCAGGAAATAAGTCTGAAAAATTACAAATTATTATTTTTCCAAGGTGAACAAATCTCGATCGAAAGCCCAAATACCACAGCTGTCAAGGAACTGTCTGGTCTGGTTGTGTAAGTTGTATGACAAGTATACACACCGTGTAGCAAAGACAGGGAAGATGACTGTAAATATAACAGGCTGTAATGTTCATTGTATTCAAGAATGTTTTTTATTTATAATTACACATTTGTGTGTTCTAAATGCATTACAATATTAATACGTAGATCCTAAAGTTGTAGTCAAGCTCCCTGCCCCAATCTCAACGTGTTTTTTTTTTCTTAACCGCCCTCAGCGTTGAAATTGGGGCCGGGGGGGGGGTAAGATTACTATTTTAGACAGGGTCTGTGATATCTATCATCAACTGTAGTTATATTCAGCTTTATTCGCAAAAAATGCACGAATATATATTTTTTTATTCGTAAAATATCATTTCCATTCAGAACGGCTTTCTTGCATATATTGTTCGACATTGAGGGCGCCTAAACATTTTTAACGCTTGCAAATGTGGACGTCCACTTACTCAAAATAAAGCCCTTCCTGATTGGATTATTTTGTACTGACTTAGTATTATGTAGAACTCATGATAATGTTACAATACTATTTCCAGTTTGGCCAATTTAAAATTCAACAACTATTTAGATTTGTAAAAAAGTATATTCATAAAACCTTTTTAATGTTGTCCCAGGTTATTTTTTGGGTGTAATATAACTGGAAACTTGTATTATATGCCACAATATGGCGTGGCAATAAGAAAAACCGTCTTATCCATTTTTGTCATCTGGAAAACAGGGTCCAGCAGAACTGGTAACACATCACATGCCTTTTATTGTGATGGGCACCCTCTATAGTCATCCACCATACAATTTTAAAGGTTAAAGGGTACTTTCCATTGGTTTGTTGTCATAGAAACAAAACTGCAGTAGAACATGGTTTATTTAAATGGTAAACAAGTTGGTGGGAATTTGTATCAGCATGGAAGCATGGTGGGAATACGTCAAAAATTAAGCATATATTCTCAAAACTGATATTTTTACAAGAAATAATTTATTGAAAGCATCCAAGTGCATGATTCAGTGCTGCAATGAATTATGGAAAATGTTACAGTCAAGCCTTCACTCAAAACATAATACAAAAATCTTGCTACTAGAATGGTATTGCTGCTAATGTTGTGAGCAACCATTTACCATAGCATCCGTTTTTAGCCATCCTTTACTTGTAGTATAAATCGCATGGAAAAAAAAAATGCTTGAAATAGCTTGTCTTTTCAGTATGAAAATATTATATTAGGGATTGACCATTACAAAGTGTGGGGGCTGGATTTTGAAAAATTTGGAAAAATACTACAGGAAAAAATACATTTGTGAAATAAAATCTTGTACATAAAAGAAAATCCGAAACAAATTTTTACAAAAAATATCATCATGAAAACATCATAGCTCTAAACGAAGTAAAGAAAAAATCTAAAAAAAATGCCTAATGGTCAATCCCTTAGGAAAGAAAACCAAGGTACTAGTATTACATTGCATAGAGTGCTTGGGTGATGTGTATTGGGGTGGGGATGGTGGGGTGTTGTGGCTGGTGGTGGGTGTGGGGTGGTTTTGGTTGCGGGAGGGAGGGATTGTGGTGGAAGCGGGGTATATGCACATAGAATGATACAAGTATTAATACCCAGAAAAAAAGATAAATGTTTCTGGTAATTTGTTGGGATTTTATTTATTTCCAAAACTCTGACGAAAAATGTAAAAAAAAAAGATTGACGGGCAATATTTTAAGTAATACGAGTCAAGACCAGTAACTTGAATACTTTTTTCAAACATGACTTTCAATAACTTAATTAAAATTAATGTATACAGATTTGATTGGAACCAAAATTTGATCAAATTAAAAAATATACATGTGTACATGGTTCATTTGCGTACTAAATTTCGTTTGCAATGGTACGAATTTTCTGAAATATCAGTTCAACAAACTAGGAATGGTCAGTCACACAAAAGTCAAAAAGTACCACCAATAGATGTATATTTCACCGAACACTATGGAACAAGCCGCAAGAATTTTGCCAATACAAGATTAACAAATACACACCGCATTTTCAGACTTTTGATACCGAGTGATTTATTCAATAACGTTGTAGAAAGAATTAAGATTAAAACATGATGCCTACTGACGCCATTTTTTCCCATTCATTTTCACCAGGTAATGTGTTAACCTTTTCACCACCAGTTCCCTATTCCCTCACAAATTAACAAAACAGTTCCATTTATAGTCTGCAATTTTTTTCAGAAGATTGGGACAAAAGTAGCCAAATTTTTTGGGTAAAAACTAAAAATTGACTCAATTATTATCTGTTGGCTCCAAAATTAAGGTTCATTTCCAGAAATATTGAAGAATGTGAGAAAAAAGTGCAGAATAATTCCGGCAAGAAAGTCTGGTGGTGAAAACGTCAAGTCAAATGTGAATATTTCCAGTATCCTTCATTCATTTCATGATTGGCATTTAAACAGTTTGATGAGACTGAAAGACTTGTCAATTGTTGTAATAGCTAGCAGTTCACTGTACAATTAGTACTTGTTGAATTAACAGTCTGAGTGTGTTCATTTTGTAAACCATCTCTGTTTAAATCAGAAGAGCGAAATGAGGAGGCTGTATCATTTGCAATGATAGCGACGTCATTGCTTCGACTTTCAGTCCTCTGTTCAGGGATATTATTCCGAGTATCAGGCAAGGGATTTCCAACAGTTGTGCTGCTGCGATCGTTGTCAATTCGGGGGTTTGCAGTAACTGTGTTGCTCTGATCGTTATCAGTCCGAGGGTTTGCAGTAACTGCGTTGCTCTGATCGCTACCAGTCCGAGGGTTTGCAGCAACTGCGTTGCTCTGATCGTTATCAGTTCGAGGGTTTGCAGCAACTGCGTTGCTCTGATCGTTATCAGTCTGAGGGTTTGCAACAACTGCTTCGGCTTGATTGTTGTCCGTCCGAGGGTTTGCAGCAGCTACGTTGCCTTGATTGTTATCAGGCATATTGTCATTATTATTTGGACTTGGAAGCATTAAATCTGGTAAATCTTCATCCAAGTCAAAGTCTGAATGAATGCCACCGTGCTGATTACGTTGTAGTAAAAGCTGAATTCTTGCTTGCTGTATTATGGCTGGCAGTTCATAGTGATGGAAAAAATAGATCATTGAATGCTGCAAAAAACACAAAACAAGACAATATAAGTAACAATAAAACACAATTTAGAGTCAGTCAGACATAGACAACACAGTTTTCTGACAAATCAAAAGGTTATTGTAATCTTTGTTGTTTTGATACCGGTAGTATCCAAACTCTTGATGCGAAATGATGTCCTTTATCTAATTTAGGGCGAGATGGGTGTTGTATTGTCACAAAATTTCTTTCATAGTCTTTGACATGTCAAATAATATGTGTACTGTATAAACACAACAGCTATTTTATTCACAAGATATCTGCCTTGCCAGTAAACAAACATAACAGAGCAGTAGATTCGGTTGTGATTAAATTTTCAGCATCTTAGAGTGCCATCAAGTCACTGAGTTTTCTTAGCACCTTAGGGGGGCCATCAAGTCACCAAATCACACATGGGATTCACTATTTGTATTACAAAAAAAATATTCAATGTGAAGCATGTTTTATTAGGAATAGTTTAAGATGCACCAGAATCTACATGTTTCTGTATCGTCACTAGGTTCTTTTTTAATTAAAGGATGGCCATTTCATCCAGGCTATCACTGCATGCAACAAACATGGAACATCAAATATTACATACTCCCTGAAGTAGAATTCAAACAGCAATGCATGATGGGATTTATTGGAGTAAAGACAAATAAATGATAACTAAGTCGATGAATGATGCAATGAGCCAGATTTAGATCAGTATAGCTAACAAATACTATCATCGTCTTTCAGTGTGATTTTTGCCAAGTTACTAAAAGTTAAAACTGACATTACAACTTTAAATTGAATTTGACCCCCAAAATAGAAATCTGACAGAAGTGGAGTGGGGACGCTTGATTGATGAACATGGGTGCTTAGTCAGTCGTTTATGGTAAATTATAAACAAAGATGGCCTCCTGTGCATAACAAAGTCGAGTTATGCCTGTTACTATTCAGGATAGGATAATTTTACTTCCAGTTCTATCTGGTAAAATGTTTGTATTTTTAGTCTTGGTTCTGTGCACAGGAGATGTGATACAACTTAATAATGAAATGTGTACTGTAAACCGCTGTAATTTTGCAAGTCAGTCAAAAACGTGAAATTTCGTAGCAGTGAAAATGAAGTGTCAGCGATGTTCGCGAAATATTGTCTTCACGAATGCCATAAAATCCTCAAATCAAAAAAAATTCCTAATATTGCATTTGATGAAAACGTTTGACAGTAACTTCAATCCATGGCAGCTTATTTGTCTCATTCCTTAAAACTAAAATATGAAATTTATGAAAACATTGAGCGACTTTACAGCATATTTTATTTACTTGTTTATCTGTTTTTTCTGGCGCACAGAATTTGAACAACAATAACGATCATTTTTGGTTATTGTGACATTTTATGTTTAAATATTTAAACTTAACCACTAAATTGACCTGCGCCAAGAATGACATACATGTAGGTATACATGTAAAAATCATACAAACTATGCCTAGATATAATCCTTGCATTCATTTCAGAATTATCTCTGCCAGCACACACAGTACACAACATACAACCCTTTATTCTCATAGCTAGTACATTACCTGAATAAACAGCCATGAAGTGACCAAGGCTAAACCACTATACTGACCATTGAAACGATAATGATATGCATAAAATGCAAAATGATATAAATAAAAGAACCTGTAAATAAAACAGATTTGTTGATCATTTAGCATTTGACGAATATGAAAATTAGAAAACACATTGTCAGTTGCACGATTCATTAATCTTGAACGACAGTTTAATTTTTGGTTCTAGGAATTTTCACTATTTAATAGAGTTTGTAAAAACAAAAAGTTTAAAACACAACACTTGTTTTTTCTCTTCAAATAGTATTCTGTTTTGATGTGTTCACTGTTCCAAATTAGATCAATGGCGGGGAATTGCATTTATTGTGTATTATACAATTTTCTTACAACATAATTGAAGATGTACTCTGAGGTCATTTCTATATCTTTAATCAGTTATACCATAGACCTTAGAAAAGGTCTATTGTTATACAGACTTTTCTGTAAATATATTTTCTACTCATCGACAGTGACAGGGACTAATAAGAATTACAGATGCCAGGACAAAATCAGTTGCAGGTCAATTTTTCACATGTTCACCACCAGACTTTCTCGCCCAAATTTGTCTGCACTTTTTTCTAATATTCTTCAATATTTTCTTGAAATGAATTCTAATTTTGGAGCCAACAGACAAAATTTAAGTAAATTTTCAGTTTTTACTCAAAAAAATTGGCTATTTTTGATCCAAACTTCTGATGGAAAGTGCAAACTATATACAGGAATTTGGATGAAAACAGGGAACTGATGGTGAAAAGATTAACTAAACACTAACAGGTAGTATGTGTATTACCGTAACCAATGTCTTTTACTTGTAATGGTATGGCAACAAATGGCATCATATTGGTCTGCTATCCACACGATTAAGATGATATAAAAGGCTGTAGTTGTATCATTAAAAAATTCAGACATAATGGCTTCCATACCTAGATAGAAAATATTGTCATGAAGTTGGATTATGAGATGATTGTGTGGATTCCATAAAGTATGTACAAAAGCAGCACGATGTTGGTATCTATCGACAAGTCGTGAAGGTTGATGCCACCCTGTTCTGTCTAAGTGCATACTTTGAGGTATCCTCATGATAACCTTGTTATAATAATTTTTTTCCTGCCTGTGTCATTGCTTGCAATCAGTGATGTAATTCTATTTCACTCATGCGATACGTTGTTGCTGCATCCGTTTGTAAACAAAGAAACATGACATATTGTATTTTTCAAATATTAGGGAGACGTTTTATGAAGAGATGAAATCTATAGATGTATGTATGTATATGATAGATGTATACTAATGTAATTTATGTAGATATTGACATAATCCAAATTAGGTAAGCCGACAGAACGGTAGATGCATATACCACACACTATGATATCAGTTTTTTAGTAATATTTTCACAACTCGCAGATAAAGGTTCCTGGTTCCAGGGCTGTAATTTAGGGTAGCAAATACCACACAGTCTTGTTTCAGAGATACAATACTTCTCAGGTACGAATAGATGCAAAGACCTTGTTGAGAATGAGAGCCCTGTGACTTGTTTTCCCCTCAAACAGTGTTCCATTTTTTCTATCATCACATTATTGCCTCCATTGTTCAGAGAATGAAACAATATTTAAGAAAAGAAACAAGTCACATGGTTTCTCATGTTTCTTACAAGATAATAGGTTCATTTGCACCTAAGAACTATTAACAGTATTCACTACCACAAAGACCTGTCATTTAGTACAGGTCCTTAGGAGGGCTACATTGTCCAAAACTAACTACTGTAAAATAATTTATTTTCGCTTGGAATTAAGTTTAGCTATTTTCTCTGAAGAAATGATTCAGTGAAAATTAAATCCAGTGAATATACCTTTTTTCCTATATTTTACATTCAACTTGTCAAAAATCAGTGAAAATAAATTCCATACAAAACGCCGAAAAAGTCTTTTCAGGGAAAATTAATTACAGCTAAAATAAAGTATTTTACAGTATTGTGTTTTCTGTAATACAAATACTGTAATTTGATCATTCTCATATAATCTACTGTAGAATACTTTTAATTATTTTCGCTTGGAATTTATTTTCGCTATTTTCGCTGAAGGGATGATTCCGTGAAAATAAAATCCAGCGAATATACTTTTTTTCCTATATTTTTCACATTAAACTCATCAAAAATCAGTGAAAATAAATTCCATACATAACGCCTAAAATGCCTTTTTAGCGAAAATTATTTCCAGCGAAAATAAAGTATTCCACAGTATGCTGGATCATTAAAATATGACTTATTTCGACCATAGACACACCTCTGTCAATACAAATACAGAATGTGTACTGGCTTAGACATACATGTAGGATAAATTATCCACTTACCAACTAAGGCTAGTATAACAGTCAGCAATGGAGCTGCTGGAAAAGCTATGGTTACGTTCATTTCTAACATTTGAAGCAAGTCCACTGAAAAGATAAAACGTATATTACCTGACATGTATGACATGCATGTTCCCATCTTTATAGCCCCAGGCAACTAATATCACTTCTCAGAAAACTGTTTGTACTTCAAGACAATTTTGTTGTTGTTTTTTAAGACAAATTTCATTACTTTGATTTCAAGACAACTTTCACCATTCCCACCAAAGTCAGATCCCGTTTTAATCACATGTCTAGCAATTATTGTTAGAAACCACAAAATAAACACACGTAACGTTTTGCCACATTGTTCACAAGAGAATACTGCTAACCAACCCAAAATTAACCAAAAAATTATCAAAAAAAACATAAAAATGTGCAAAGCGTTGCACTGAAATATTGGCGTAAAAAATATGACGTTCAAATAGTGAAATGCTTGTTCAATTACAGCATCTCCTATCGACTGAAGCCTGCAGAAGAGAACACAAATACTCACCAATAAATACAAATATTTGATGATGTGAATATCTTAACAACATTGATATTGATATAGTAAATACAAACATAATAAAAGCCGCCGCAATGTACGAGGATCTGGCCATCCACATACTGACAAAACGATAATGTTCTCCAGATATCACATTCCGAAGGTATCCTGAAATATGAACATGAAGCGTATCAGTCTAAAAAGAGGGATGCTTCGCTTTCAAGACGATCTTCCAAAATTGTTTGAATACATTTACAAACACTAGTTATCATCGATAAAACAGGTGATGATTTGAACTACACTATGTGGCGGAATATATGTTACATGGAGTTATTTACTACTACACTATCTAAACAACGCATCTTGGAGAATAATTGTATATTATCATACACCTCGTATTGCCCTGCCTCGTAAAGCTATGGGAAATGCTCCCTCACATCAGGGCAATAAATTCCTGTATCACGCCTGGCCCAGCGCGCCAAGCTTTCATTATTCAAAACAGAAAATTATAATTACAATGTACACCTATTAGGTAGACTAATGGTCTCAATAATTTTAATAACTTCATCTCCTGATTTGCATAATTTTTATGTTTAACTGACAGACTGTTTCAGGCAAATTTTCACCCATAACTTCAAAATTCACAATAAGAACAGATATTTTTGCTTCCTAAACCTTTACCACAATCTACAGGACAAGGTATCGTTAATAAAAATGCATTGAATAATGAAATATACCTTTGTTGTCTTCATGTTCAGCTAGACTTTTTACACTGGACATAAGAATATCATCATAACCCAAGAACTCTTCTAATAAAAAACGACTAAAAGTGTCTCCAAAACACTCATCTTTTGTAGGATCTACACAATAAAGAATTCAACATTATAGTAGCATTATGCAAGAAGAACAAGAATTTCACGAAGCAGGACAATCTGTGACATTTTGCAGTGGTGAACGTTTGATTGAGATTTGTAAATAGTCATAGCAGCAACGCAAAACTAAAAATAAATTCCAAATTATCATATTGAGAAAATAGCAGTGAAAATTAAAACAAAGTAGTGTAGCTACATTGCGTGTGTTGGCATCAAAATTCCCAGCATATATATAAACATGAAGCACAAAATTTAAACTCGCAATTCGGCAAATGCGACACAGCACTACTCACAGTTACGCTACATTGCAAAAATCCGCTCGAAATAACATTTAGCGTACATACAGCACTAATACACTCCTCAATTAGAGATTAGAGACAATTCAATACTGAAAGACCCTTGTATCAATAAAAACATTTATATACACATTTTATTGCATTCACTTTTTATAATCCTGCCATATATGATTCACCTGTTCTCTCTGTGCACAGATTGAATACTCCCAGAATGCAACATTTTAACAACTTTTGAAAAGCAATGAAAGGTAAAACTGCTACTCGATAAATTTAGTGTTTTTAATCATATTTCCCACTACTTAATGTGAACAGATTTGTAGAAAAATTCGATCAAGCGCAGACCTGAATATGATGCATCTGTGAACTGAAAAGTGCCCCTTTCACGTTTTATACACAGATTTGTCATAGACATATGTATCTTATTTGCAGCTGTCACAGTGGCATTGCGTCTGTTGTGTTAAGTGAAGGATGTAACTAACACAAACCCCAAAACTAACTTTACCCCCCCCCCCCATACTTTCACACTCTTTTCATATATTTACCTAGCTGTACAACCATGACAGGTATACCAAGCCTTTCTCTCGTCTGCGGTGAAAGACGAAGAAAACCATACTCCAAAGAATACTCCATAACGTATTCATCAGAAGGCCAGACTAAAAGAAAAAAAAAACAATTTGTATAGACAATAGAGCTTACATTATTAAAGATCTCCCAGCAGTTTCTACGAGAAATGTTTTGACAAGCTCCACAAAACTACTTACATTATATCTCATCATCGAATAAATATAAGATAATTACCGTAATGATGATTTTTTTTTTGGTAATTGTACACTGTCAAATACTTATACGCTAATTTCGCTGAATTATACATTCAGAGAAAATAAAATCCAGCGATTACTGTAAAAGGGGTTAATTACTCACTGGGTTTTAATTTTGTTTATTTTGCTGACTAGAAAAGGCGCTAAATTAAAACCCAGTGAATATGTAAAATTGAGCATAGAACATGTTATCTAAATGATAAAACCGTGAATTTAAAACCCACTGAATATGCCTGAAATGCTAAATCAGTGAAATTTTAACCCAGTGAAAATCAGTATACCTTTTTTCCTATATTTTACATTACATGTACATTCAATTTTTCAAAAAATCAGTGAAAATAAATTCCATACAAAACACCATACACCATACAATAGTCTTTTCAGCAAAAATTAATTCCAGCTAAAATAAAGTATTTTACAGTATTACATAGTCCCTGCAGCCATACATAAGGCTTCTAGAAATTCACATATCGCTCACTCAGTCAGACAGTTTGAACACTTACAATGTACATGTATGGACAGTCAACTAGTGTAGAAACGTTACCTTCTGCAAACAAGGTGAGACGGTATAATTACTTACCTGCTCTCGTAAACATTTCAAATTCAGAAACAGTTTCTCTGAATGGTTGCATATTTTTCTCTGGTTTCTCTGAAATCCAGTATCCAATGGTTTCATTGGCGACCGGAAGGAATTCCTCGTTTTCAATAGATTTCTTTTTAGGAGAAAAATTAGTGAAATAATCGGCTGAATAAATACTCATATTGGTATGTTCTTCATACTCTGTTTCTTCTGAAATGTAAAAAAAAAGACAAAGAACAGAGAAACTGTTATGACTCTGCCTGTAATGTACACAGACAATTGTTATCACTAAGCAATATGCCAGGGAAATGATCAAAGTCAAAAATTCAAAAAAATATTCATCAAAAATTTAAGCCACAGATTTCATCACAAGATTACCTCAGAATGAAGCCACCCCAAAGCCACAAACATACCATGAAAAAAAAGAAATTTGAAAAATAGATTTCATTGAGAAAAATCATTTAGAAAACATTGTTGCATGTCTTATAACGATGCTGAACAAGCAGTCATATCAAATCTTTACATCAGCAGACATAGTATTTCAGAAGCTGAAGCAAAGTTTTCAACAAGCAGGCATGCTTGAGTTTTACACAAACATAAACAACATAAACACAATTACTACCTGCTGAGATGTTTCCGGGTGTCAATTAACAGTTAATCAAATTTTGAGTTATGAAAAACATAAAATGAAAGATAGCTCAGCTGTAAGCAATGTACATTTCAATATTAAAAAGAACGGAAGATATCATAAAATTAGAGAGAAGACCAGATGTAGTAATATCAAATCAAGCAGACTTGCGATTTTTAGCAAGTCAAAAATATCACTTTTTACAAAAAATTACAAAAATATTCTTCAAAATTAGAGATTTGAAGATATAATCACAAAATGAACAAATCTGATAGAGGTCTACCAAAGGTACATATACAGTACACCAAGTATCAAAGCAATCAGGTTTGCAGTTTTCAAGAAGAAGTAAAAAAAGTAAAACATTGACACAGACGCCGGACAATCACTCATATGATAAGCTCTGCTCGACAGTGGAGCTAAATATTGATGCTGACGACGACAAACAGAGCAGAGCTAAATATATGTAGCCCGTACATGTAACTCGAAGTTTGATTAACTGTTACTTAAAGTTCGAGTTACTAAATGTGATTGTTAAACATCAGTTAAAATTGATGGTGCACGTAACTCAAAGTTTGGTTAACTGTTAATTGAACATTGAGTTGAAATTTGGGCGTGGTCATTTTTGTAACTCAATGTTTTTGTAACTCAATGTTTTTGTAACTCGATGTTTGTAACTCGACACAATTCAGCATCTCTCCTCAATGGGAAAACTTTTTTCAATCTAGACACAAGACTTCACAGCATATCAACATACAATAAATTATTTCATCCATGGAAATCAACCAGCAATACTTCTTCTGACTCCAGTTGAAATTATCATGCAATATGCAAATTTTGCAGCAAATCAGTTGATGCTACACTTGACTACATCTGTTTCACATCACCAATGATGTGAATGACAGTTTGGATGCATGCAGTAGAGAAACACCAAGTACAATACCTGTTACATCATTAACATGTGATCTTGATATATTACGAACTATTTCAACACGAAGTATACCATCCCTGGGCCAAACTCCTTGGATATGAGAAAGACAATTGATAGGTGTTCTGGAAAATGCACAGTGAATATAACCAAGTACAAATAATACTGTCAATGCCTGAGGAAGAAAGAAACAGAACATGTCATGAACATTAACATTTATAGGATTGCCTTGCTCTAATTCACAGTTCTGTTACATGTACAGATTGC